CAAACACAAATTTGAGATCAATACCTGCATTTCAGGAGAAGGCACAGAGAACAACAAGCGGTGACTGGAAAGAGAAGAACAGGGTGATTAAAAGCGAGTCTATATATGTACGTTAAGAGAAGGAACTGGGCTGCATGTGTATCAGCTTTTCAATCGGGGGTCTATTCACTGGTGGCAGTAGCAGCATACGAGGAACACACTACGAGGTCACCCCCCCATTTGTGGATCGACAATTTCAATAAAATCAGCAGGAACCCTCCCGCGCTACCAGCACCCCCTCTTGACAACTGCAAAAGCATATTACCGGTTAGAGATGTGTGGTGGGGGCGGGCCACGCCCCACCACACACTGCGTAGGGTGAGACTCTGCGCACAGCGGGAGCCGTAGGTCATACGAGTCCAGTTGGGGTCGAAAAACGTAGTGTGGATTTACACCTTTCTTATGTTGTTGTCGTACCCCTTCACCTCGCTGACGTCCGGGACCTCAGACTCAAATAGGAGAGAAAACGAAACACACTAATTACACAAATCGAGAACAACAGACACAATATAAATTAACAATCCTCCCTCTCAACCTTTCTAATACCTCACAAAAAGATCCTTTTTGTTCACCTAGTGTCCACTTATTTCTAACATCCCTTTCCTGTCCTTATTAAGCAATTTGAGCCTTCCCTAATATTACCCGTGTGCTTTCTGCTCTTCTCCATGCCCTGAGGCCAAAGGTCCAAAGAAGAAGAATAGAAAAATGGAAAGTTTCCACCACGGCGGGGCCTTGCTCGCTCATTTATCCTTTCCTGTATCCTTCCTCGACCCTTTTTCTCTCCTTGGCCGGCTGGGCGAGGATGGAGAGTTGGGACCTTCAGTGGCTTTTGGAGGCCGTTGGTCGCTCTCCAGAGCCCAATTTATGCTGACATCAAACAGGAATGGATGTGCTGGCATCTGGTGCATTTAGCAACTTGGGCACACACACACACACACACACACACACACACACCACACCACACACACAACACACAGCACACCACACACACACCACCCCTGTAGAGGGTATTGCCTGGCAGATTTAATCCCTCTGCAATGTCTTCCCAAAGAGTTTGGAACCCTGCAGCCCATTATTCCGCTTTTGGAGAAAAACTGGATTCTGGCTCCTCTAAATGTGGTGTAAGAGTGTTTTCGTCTTGTTGAATACGATGATGTGTGGTATGAGGAAGAGTTCTCCAGCCTTGTGTCCCCAGCTCAAATTAAACACACACCACACACCTCTTTCCTCTTCCTTGTGGGACATTTGTTGCGGTTTCTTTTATGCAGGCAGTGCGCTGAACTGCCGCCTGTCAAAGTACCTGGCATGTACTGACTTTGTTTCCACATACACACCTTTGGAGAACCTTCGCTGAATTCCTCCACACACACCCATCCTGGACTGAACAGAGCCGTTACTCCCTGTTCAGCGACCTCCACTCGGAGCCTCTTATGACAAAGTGCGGCTTTGAGGGCGGCACGGCTTGGATGCTGGAAGCCGACCTACCTTCCTACTTTTTCGGCGTGAGTCATGGTTGGGGTGAAGCAACCAATTCAAAACAATACACTCACTGTGCTTTCCTGCCATTGTGGAACGGAGAGTGTCAACTTTCCCAGCGCCAGACCTGTCACAGCCCTAGTCAGATAAGGTGTTGGGAGAAGGATAAAGAGGACGAGGAAAGGATGGATGCCTTTGGTAGAGGATATTTTGGGCGTGACAGTTTGGCTTCCTTGCTTGCATTTAAGGTTCATTGCTTTTGCAGCTGTGGGACTAAGCACTTTGCCTTAGTTGGCATAAGAATAGTAAAACCACATAATCAAAGTGTAGCAACGGGAAAGAAAGGAAACTCAGTATTCCTGCAGTGAGTTGTTTTTGGGTAGAACACTCCTGTAAAATCCCAACACCATCACCTTGTCTTTGGGTCTTGTCCCTTCACACCCAATAAGGTAAGGACATGTTGGCATCGTTTGTATAAACAGGCTAAGAAACCCAAATGAATGGTGACAGTGGAGGGCAGTGCTCATTCTTTCATTTGGTCTATGGACGTAAGCCACAAGCAGAACCGATGACATCACAGGGCCATTTTCATAGCTTGTTATCCTTCCTGAAGTATCTCTATCCCATTACATTCATACCTCTGTGTCCATCTTCCTCTGTGGTTTTTGGACCGCTGCTTCTTGCTTCTCACAAACAAACATATTATATATCAACTTTTGAAACCGAGTGTTTTTCTATTTATAATTTCGCTCTAATTATGCTCCCTGTGTCCTGGCAGCCCTTATCTGAAGAAGCTTGGTCCCAGGAATCTCGTGTCCCATTTTGTCCATCGACTACTCTCTGGCCCCCGAGGCCCCTTCCCAAGGGGCCCCTGGAGGATGTTTTCTACGCCTACTGCTGGGCCTGAAAAACCACCACCCTACTAGTAACACAACATTACATTTAGCTGACGGCTTTTTATCCAAAGAGACTTACAATAAGTGCATTTGGACCAAGAAGTATACAAACTTGAAAGAAACAGAATCTAATAAGTACATCAGTTTCCATCGAGCCAAACCATTTCAGTGCTACTCAACTGGCTTTTAGATAAGCCGGTCCTTTGTTAGTAATGTAAAGTGGCTTAGTTAGTATGTTAAGGTGCTTAGTTAGTATGTAAGTGCTTAGTTAGTATGCTTGAGTGCATTAGTTATATGGTAAAGTTGCTTAGTTAGTATGTAGTGCTTAGTTAGTATGTAGTGCTTAGTTCAGTATTGGTGAGTGCTAGTTAGTAATTGTGAGTGTTTAGTTTAAGTATTGAGTGGCCCCTTTGTTAGTATATAAGTCTTAGGTTAGTATGTAAGGTGCTTGTGTGTATATGAGTGCTTTAGTTAGTATAGTAAGTGCTTAGTTTAGTATATAAGTGCTTAGTTTAAGTATATAATGCTTAGTTAGTAATATGAGTGCTTAGTAGTAGTATAAGTGCTTGAGTTAGTAATATAAGTGCTTAGTTAGTATGTAAGTCTTAGTTAGTATATGAAGTGCTTAGTTAAGGTAATATAAAGTGGCTTAAGTTAGTATGTAAGTGCCTTAGTTAGTAATATGAGGTGCTTAGTTAGTAGTTGAGTTGCTTGTTAGTATGTGAGTGCTTAGTAGTATGTGAGTGCTTAGTTACGTTGGTGAAGTGGGCTTAGTTAGTATGTAAGTGCCTAGTTAGTATATGAGTCTTAAGTTTAGGTAATAAGGTGCTTAGGTTAGTAATAGTGTTTAGTTAGTATAAATATAAGAGCTTTTAATTTAGTTTTAGTTTTTTCATTCTTATCGCTCGAAGTGGAGTCTAAAGAGATGAGTTTTCAGTCTGCGCCGGAAGATGTGTAAGCTTTCTACTGTCCTGATTTCAATGGGGAGCTCATTCCACCATTTTGGAGCCAGGATAGCAAACCCACGTGTTTTTGCTGATGGGAACTTGGGTCCCCCTCGCAGTGCGGGTGCAGCGAGCTGTTTGGCTGATGCAGAGCGGAGTGCACGTGCTGGGGTGTACAGTTTAACCATGTCCTGGATGTAGGAAGGGCCAGATCCATTCGCAGCATGGTACGCAAGTACCAGGGTCTTGAAGTGGATTCTAGCAGTTACCGGAAGCCAGTGAAGGGAGCGGAGGAGCGGCGTGGTGTGGGAGAATTTAGGAAGGTTGAAGACCAGACGAGCCGCTGCATTCTGGATGAGCTGCAGAGGTCGGATGGCACATGCAGGTAGACCAGCCAGGAGGGGTTGCAGTAGTCTAGGCGTGAGATGACGAGAGCCTGGACCAGAACCTGCGTTGCTTTCTGGGTCAGCTGGGGACGCATCCTCCTGATGTTTGCAGTGAAGGACAGTTTGTTATCTAGGGTCACACACATTAGCGTTAATATCAGACTCCTGGCTTTTCTTTTTTACTCCCATGTACTTTTTCGGACTACTTCTTAATGCAATGGGAAGCCATGTGCAGTTGAAATGCTAAATGCATTAGGCAGGTAGAAGTTAGTTTATTAGACTTAATGAGCAGACAAAGCTCACTCCTTTCAGAGTCAGTGGACTGCTTCTGAGTGCATTTACCAATTCCCTGCAGCTTTCAAGAGGAATCATTCATCACTTTGAAAGTAATCATGCTGCAGCGCCATGTTTTGCACTGTACCCATTGTTCTGTAATATAACACAAATTGTGACGCTAAGCATTCAGGCTGACAACAAAAGACATCTGGTCGATTTGGGGTACATCCGCCCGCTGAAGCACGCTGTGTCAAATTAACAGTGATCGCAGTGCTGTGTTTGTGTTTTAGTACAAGAAGACATTATCACTGCCATGAGGCTGAAAGCAAGACAAAACCAGCTCCAAGCAGCCCCACATTCAGCCGTCTCACGGTCCAGAAAAGAGATTCTGCTACTTTATGGGTCGCACTGCTTTTCTTGCTCCACAGTGGATTTGTAGAAAAATACATATTTTTCTCGTCTCCTTTTATTTTGTGTGCCATTTCACCATTTCCCCATTTCCCCATGGATTTATGTTCTTCCTTTGTCCTCACCTTTATCTTCACCGTCCTGTTTCATCTCTCCAGGCTGGACCGGGGAGAAAGTGTGTCTGGCTGGTGACAGTGCGGGAGGCAACTTGTGTGTGACGACGACGATGCGCGCGGCTGCCTTTGGCGTGCGGATGCCAGATGGCCTGGTGGCCGTGTACCCGGCCACGCTGCTGACCGCCTACGCCTCGCCCTCCCGTCTGCTCACACTTATGGATCCCCTGCTGCCTCTCAGCGTGCTCTCCAGGTGTCTGAGCGCCTACGCAGGTAGGGGTCAAGTGTGTTTGTGATTTAGAAAACAAACTAAATAAGGTGTGTTCTTTAATCTGGTAGATTTTAGGTAAATAAATATTGTTTTGGGGTACCTGGCTGGCGCCCCCTAGCAGCGACGCGCATATTTCAGCAGCGGCGCTGCACCGCCGCTATTTGTATAAAGGGGAAACACTGGTATTATATAGGTTGTTGTGCATGTAAATGGTCTGCAAAGGATGACATAGTGACATCACTATGTAACATTCGCGCTTCTATTGGCTGGCTCCAACGTGATAGTGCGTGGTATTTTAAGGGGCGGGACTTCTCAAAGCGAGTTGACCAATCACAACAGAGCCGGCCAGCTAACCAATCAGAGCAGAGGGTGAAAAGAGGTGCTGCAGCACAGGCAGTGAGAAAAATAAAGACCTTTTTAGAACATTAAAACATGGAAACATGGAAACATGTCGCTGTAGAGGTTCAAAATACAAATATGAACCTTTAAGTAATCATTTTAGGACCCTTTTAAAAATAATAATGCTGACAAACTATCTGTGTAGCATAAATGAAAAGGTTATTAAGTTGACGTATATTTATATATATTATTTTTTTGCCGTTTTCATCAGTTAAGCCATTCTTTTCAAATGCATTAACTAATTTCCTTCATTAAAAAAACTCAAAGCGATATTTTATGATATGCAAAATTTACAAACAGCTGAAACAACTAATTGATAAGAAAACTTCAATCTATTTTGTGTCAATTCAGCCTGCATGTCTTTTCGTTTTAGAACAGTTATAATTATCTTATTAAACATAAAACAAGTTCTGTTCTCATCTCGGATCTCCCTGTTCACTTGCTCAATTCCTTTTTCAGCACACAATGTGTATATTATACATTTTTAATCATAAATCTTTATGGATTTTATTCTAACCGTGCTGTATCATGTCTGAAACACCCTCCCCAGCCACAACTCAACTTATTAGCATATAGATTGTTTTTCATGCCTTGTCATTAATGCAATGTAAAAAGCAGGAGAAACTCTTACAAGTCATTTGATACATTGTAGTCTCACGAGAAAAGGAGGGCTAAGGAGGACTAGTAAATGGCCAACTATGCCAAATCATTCTGACAGAGATACTGTTGACCCTGTGTCGCTGTCAATAATGAACTGTAACACTAATCACTTTCTATTCACTCGTTCTATCATCCCTATGTATTGCTCTCTGTGACACAAATGGCTGTATTTTCTGTGGTTTTCTTTATCTTTCCTATTTTTGCTTATCTGTTTCTCATTTGGGCTTATTCAAGAATAACAGAAACGCTGTTCTCTCTGTTTAGCATCCATCTTTCCCCTGATGAGTCTTCCTATGTCTCCTCTTCCTCTAGGCAACCAGCCCCAGACAGAGGTGCAGGTGGAGAAGGGGAGCCAGCTGAGTCTGGTGAGGAGAGATACGGCTGTGATGCTCAGAGACCTCCGACAGGGAGCCTCCAACTGGATCCACTCTCTGCTGGATTCCAACCGAGCCGCCGCCGCCGCCCCCAGCTCGGCTGAACAGGAGGCGCCACCAAGAGCCGCCGGTATACCCCCGACTGTGTGTGACTGTGTGTGACTGTGTGTGTCTGTGTTTCACTGTGTGTGACTGTGTGTGTCTGTGTTTCACTGTGTGTGACTGTGTGTGTCTGTGTGTGTCTGTGTGTGACTGTGTGTGTCTGTGTGTGACTGTGTGTTTCACTGTGTGTGTCTGTGTGTGACTGTGTGTTTCACTGTGTGTGTCTGTGTGTGACTGTGTGTGTCTGTGTTTCACTGTGTGTGTCTGTGTTTCACTGTGTGTGACTGTGTGTGTCTGTGTGTGACTGTGTGTTTCACTGTGTGTGACTGTGTGTGACTGTGTTTCACTGTGTGTGACTGTGTGTGTCTGTGTGTCTGTGTTTCACTGTGTGTGACTGTGTGTGACTGTGTGTGTCTGTGTTTCACTGTGTGTGTCTGTGTTTCACTGTGTGTGACTGTGTGTCTGTGTTTCACTGTGTGTGACTGTGTGTGACTGTGTGTGACTGTGTGTCTGTGTGTGTCTGTGTTTCACTGTGTGTGACTGTGTGTGACTGTGTGTGACTGTGTGTGTCTGTGTTTCACTGTGTGTGTCTGTGTTTCACTGTGTGTGTCTGTGTTTCACTGTGTGTGACTGTGTGTCTGTTTCACTGTGTGACACTGTGTGACTGTGTGTCTGTTTCACTGTGTGACTGTGTGTGACTGTGTGTCTGTGTTTCACTGTGTGTGTCTGTGTTTCACTGTGTGTGTCTGTGTGTCTGTGTTTCACTGTGTGTGACTGTGTTTCACTGTGTGTGACTGTGTGACTGTGTGTCTGTGTTTCACTGTGTGTGTCTGTGTTTCACTGTGTGTGTCTGTGTTTCACTGTGTGTGTCTGTGTTTCACTGTGTGTGACTGTGTGTGTCTGTGTTTCACTGTGTGTGACTGTGTGTGACTGTGTGTCTGTGTTTGACTGTGTGTGACTGTGTTGTCTGTGTTTCACTGTGTGTGACTGTGTGTGACTGTGTGTCTGTGTTTCACTGTGTGTGTCTGTGTTTCACTGTGTGCGTCTGTGTGTGACTGTATGTGTCTGTGTTTCACTGTGTGTGTCTGTGTGTGACTGTATGTGTCTGTGTTTCACTGTGTGTGTCTGTGTTTCACTGTGTGTCTGTGTTTCACTGTGTGTGACTGTGTGTCTGTGTTTCACTGTGTGTG